GGGGACACCGAGGTGCTGGAAGCAGTGCCAGGGGATGTTGTGGAGCTGCTGTCAGCAGGTGTTCTGGGAGCAGGGTGGGCAAACATCTGGCAGCAAAGGTTGAACCCAGCGGACTTTTCTGAACGACCTCTCCGGGCCCCTCCGGCCTCGTGCTCGGTGATCCTGCTTTTCTTCCAGCAGAAATGTCAGCCTGGCTCTTCCACTGCTCTCCAGCATCTGCAACACAGGTCTGTGAGCTGTGTCCTCGCTCTGGGGGCTGCCAGTGGTAATTCTCAGTCATTCCTCCTGCATTTTTCACACCTGTTCCGTGCACTGGGGATGTGTTTGTTTGTATGAACACAAACGGGCAAAAATATTTGAAATGGGAAAGAATAAACAGCATTGCTGTTTCTGTCAGTTTTCTCTATTTATCTTATACTTTTCTGTCCCAGTCTCCTGTGAAACCTTCCAGGACAGGGAATACCCTGAGGTGAGGATAACCCCTGGAGGTCTGGCTTCAGGCAGCCAGTAGAAGGAGAAGGTGAAGGAGGGAGATGCGCTGATGCTGTTCCATGTTTTTGTTGGAGGGGTGACCTGGAGAACAGCCCTGCCTCTGGGTCCGGGCTGCCTGTCCCCATTCCTGTCACAGGGACGGACCCTCTGCCTTGGGAATCCTTTTCAGACTCTGGCTCTCGCATTTCTTCACAGAAAAGTGGCACCTGGCTCAGCTCATCCATTATTCCCCCCAGCTGCTTTGGGCAGGGCCGGGCATTGAGGAGGTGGAATTTATCCTGGAGCTGAAGGGACCTGTCTGATTCTTTTCTTCCCCGGCCATTGACTGGGCCCAACATCTGCTGCTGTTAACCCTGGCTGGCCCCACGCACTGATGGGCCTTTATGACTCCAAAGCATCACTAAAGCACTTGGCATTGTGTCAGCAAAGGCCGAGGCATCCACAGGGAAGAAAAACCTTCCTTTCTGCAGGGGTGGAATTGGATTTGTGCGTTAAAATCCACAGGGATGGGAATATCCTGGATAGTTTGGAACAAGTAATAATCAAAGGAGTGGAATCAAAGTGCCTTCTCCCTAAAAATCATCTTCCGCACGCTCACATCGTGAAACCCGGTGGTTTTAACCTGCCACGCTCCTGGGAATCACCTCCATCACTGCCAGATTAATTGATTTTATTTGTTCTGTTGGGGTTTTTTCTACTTTTGGGAATGAATTACTTTTTACCCCTGGCCCTGACACAGGAGCTTCATTGGAAGCGGGGTGGGTACCTATGGATCCCATATGGCCCCTCTGGGAAACAGCTCCACAGTAAATACTGGAGATAAGCACGAGCAGATGGGAGGGGAAGGGGCAGCAGCTTTAACAGCAAAATCCTCGCTGCCTCCGCAGGGTAACACGTCCTGGGCTGTGGGAAGGAATATCTTAGGAAGGATAAGAGGCATTCCAAGAGACGCAGCCGTACTTTGCATGCGGTGCTGGTCCCCTTCCCACCGGGGAGAGGAAAAGGGAGGATTTAACTGTCATTTACAAGGCATTCAGGGCTTTGCGGCTGCTGGAGGAGCCGGGAGAGGAGTTCTGCAGGGAGGGAACGAGGCAGCACAGACAAAGGGTGTCAGAGCATGGGCTCCGCTTGCGGACCAGTGGAGCCAGGTAGGAGCAGCTCCAGAGCATCTCCAGGAGCACCCCCAGGAGCACATCCAGAGCAGCTCCAGGAGCACCTCCAGAACGCCTCCAGAGCACCTCCAGAGCACCTCCAGGATCCACGGGCTCCCTTCGCTGTCAGAACGGGGCTCCACAGCCAGACCTGTGATCCGAAACCAGGAAGGAGCCAGGCTCCCTCAAAGCAGAATCAGGAATTAAGGCTCTGGCTGCAAGGACTGAGCTGGTTCCTGGACTCCCTGGGATCAGCCCGGGGTTCCCAGCTCCCTGAAAGGCTGGGAAAACAAAAGCCAAGCGATTTGGACTTTTAAAGGCGCTTTCAGCTGCAGCTTTTTCAGGATTGAAGCCATCAAAGGGAAAGGAGAGAGGAAGTTCCTTTCACAGCCGAGTCCCTGGTTCAAGCACAGGAAGGAAGGGACACAAACAGTTTCTGAGGGGTCTCGGGGGGCTGGGAATGTGACTGGCTTATCCTAAATGTTGCCGGGAAGGGATGGAGAGCAGGGTGATACATTTTAAAGGTAATACACACACAAACACAGGGAATAAAGGCAGAAGAACAGCTGCAGTGGCTCAGCCAACTCTTCACCCAGCCCCTCTTTCCTACAACACCCCTGGGCCAGGGAGCAGGGAGGTGACAGTGACACCAAGTTCAGCTGGAGGTGGGAACTGAGATCCAATCCCGTTTATTAAGGATGTGATGAGGATCCAGTCTTATTTAACACATTTATTAATGATGGGATGAGGCTCCAGTCCCATTTAAAGCATTTATTAATGATGGCACGAGGATCCAGCCCCATTAATTAGCAGTGGGAAGGGCTCCAGTCCCATTTAACACTTTTACTGCTGTGATGGGATGTTTAATGATGAGAAGAAATTCCAGCCCAACTAACAGTGGGATGAGGCTTCATTCCCATTTAGCACCTTTATTACCGACGGGGATACGGATCCAGACCCATTTAACACCATCATTAACAATGGGATGAGGATCCCGTCCCATCTAGCACCTTTATTAACGACAGGGATGAGGAACTAGTCCCATGTAACACCATTATTGTGACAGGACGAGACTCCAGTGATGGACTGGAGTTAATGAATGACTGGACACGGCTCCATCCCCGTTAATTAATCAGGGCCGGAGGCGGGTCCCCCCCGTTAATTAATTAATTACTCCCGGCCGGCCGCGGGTACCCCGCTAATGGCGGCGGGCCGGGCCCCTGAGGGCGGCAATGGCGGCCGAGGCTCGCGCCCCGCCAGCAGGCGGCGCCCCCGCGCGGCGCATGCGCGGTGTGCCCTCCCCCGGCCCCCTCAGCGCAGCCCGCCATGTTCGCGGAGCTCAACGAGCTGCTCGGGGCGTCCCCGCAGCGCCCGGAGCCGGTGAGAGCGCGCCCAGGGGCGGCCGGGGGCGGGAGGGACCGGCCGGGGCTGCTGGGAGCGGCGGGGCACGCCGGGAGGGGCGCGGCCTCAGGCGGCGGCCGCGGCCGGTGCCGGGACTGAGCGGCCGCTGGCGCTTCCCTCGCTCGGTGCCCGCTCCTCATCGCCCCTCACGGCTCCGGCTCCGGTATCGGCGGCCGGGACGTGCTCCCGCGGTGTGTGCCGTGCGTGGTCGCTGCTGTGTGGTGAATAACAGCACAGCTGTGGTTCAGACGCGCTGCCCGATGCTGCTCTGGGCCAGGGGTGTTCTGCAGGTTCATGTTCTTCAGAGCACTACATTAATTTAGTTCGTTCAGGCAGGTTTTGTGCTAATGAAGTTACGCTGGAACTGAGCACCCTCACCCTGTGAGATAACCGTGCAGGTAAAATGTTCATCATAGAATCACAGAGTGTTTGGGGTTGGAAGGGACCGTGAGGATCACCTGGTGCCACCCCCGCCACGGGCAGGGACACCTTCCACCAGCCCAGGTTGCTCCAAGCCCCGTCCAGCCTGGCCTTGGACACTTCCAGGGGTCCAGGGGCAGCCACAGCTTCTCTAGGAAATCCATTCCAGTCCCTCTCCACCCTCACAGTCAACAATTCCTTCCCAATATCCCATCTAAATCTCTACTTTTCCAGTGGGAAGCCATTCCCTGTGTCCTGTCCCCAGTCCCTCTCCAGCTCTCCTGGAGCCCCTTTAGGCCCTGCAAGGGGCTCTCAGGTCTCCCTGGCTCCTTCTCTTCTCCAGGGAACCCCCCCAGCTGTCCCAGCCTGGCTCCAGAGCAGAGGGGCTCCAACCCTGGCAGCAGCTCCGGGGCCTCCTCTGGACTCTCTGCAGCAGCTCCACGTCCTCCTGCTGCTGTTCCCAGGGCTGGGGCAGCTCTGCAGGGGAGTCTCACCTGGGGGGGCACAGGGGCAGGATCCCCCCATCCCTGCTGTGGGCTCAGCCCAGGGCACGAGGAGGGTTCTGGGCTGGGGCATCTCCAGCCTCTCCCCCCCCATCAGGGCTGTTCTCCGTCCATCCACCGCTCCCTTCATCCCCAGCCTGTGCTGACAGCAGGAGTTGTCCCAGCCCGTGTGCAGGACCTTGCCCTTGGCCTCGTTGGACCCCCTGAGGTTGGCACAGCCCCACCTGTCCAGCCTGTCCAGGTCCCTCTGGATGCCCCATCCCTTCCCCCAGTGTGTGACGGCCCCACAGCTCGGTGTTATCAGTAATTATTAACAAATTATCCCTGTGCTGTGCGTTACTCCATGTTTTTACTGGCAGATAAAAGCTGAGATAACAAGAACAGGTTTGGGGTGATAATTGATTTTGTAAGGCTGACTGTCCCCCCTTGTCTCCAGTTTCTCCCTGGGCTGGAAAGTACCAGCGAGGTCAGTCCTTGTCAGGCTGCCCAGACTGGGGCAGGGCTGGTCTGGTGGGGAAGGAACACTGGGGAAGATTTGGGAGGGTGCCCTTGAGGCTCAAAGCAAACCTGGTGGAGGTGTTGGCTGAGGCTTGGTGGTAGCAAAGGATAGTCTGAGGCTGTGCAAATGCCCAAGTCCCTGTGGTTCCATGTCGAGTTTGTAATGCACGTGGAACTCTTAAATGAGGAGCCCTAGGTGGAGTTGGAGTGTTGTCAGAGCAGAGCCTGTGCTCTGAGGTGTGTTTGATGGTGGAGCTGTGGGATGAGCAGGAACACTGCCATCCACAAGTCTGGTTTTGGGAGCGGGGAGCTCACCTTGATGTGAACAGAAATTCCACAGAGCAAAACCAAAAGATTTGGCCTCAAGATCCTGGGTTTGGACTTACCTGCCAAAGCAGGACAGAGGAGCTGATCCAAAGGCTCCTCTGTGTGAGGAATTCCCTCAGATTGAGTTGGCTCTTCCCCTCCCAGCGGCCATGGACACGACCTTCCCACAGCATGCTCCGGGTCCCTCTTTGTGCAGGTGCCTGGCTGTGGAGCAGCACAACTGTCAGGCTGTCCAGCCAGCGGTTCCCGGGTGCTGGAGATGGGAGACCGAGTTCCTGCCCTGCCACATGGACTCACCTGGCAGTAAATCATGAGCATCAGTGTCTTCATTCCCCGTCAGCCTCACCGATCCCTGGGGCGTGCCTGGCTGGGACTCCATGTCCCACTGTGCTGGAACAGCATCAGCCCTTTGCAGCCCTGTCCTTCCCGATTCTGCCATCCTGAGCTCTGCAGCTCTGTGGCTGCTCCGTGCCATTCTCCAGGTGCTCTGCTCTGTGCCATTCTCCAGGTGCTCTGATCTGTGCCATTCTCCATGGCTGCTCCGTGCCATTCTCCAGGTACTCTGATCTGTGCCATTCTCCATGGCTGCTCCGTGCCATTCTCCAGGTGCTGGCAGGCGCTGGCCCCGCAGGGCTGGTGGGTGGGCAGGGCTGTCGCCAGAGTGGGTGTATCTGCTGTGGCAGCTGGGACACCCTGCCAGGGATTTTGGCAGCTCCTGACAAGTAGCTGCAGCTTCTCCCTCGTAGCCTGCAGGAAGAGAGAGTGTGAGGGCAGGGTGTGGAGGGAATGGGCTGGGGCACAGGGAGAAGGTGCTACAGGGAGGATTTGCCTTTGGAAGGGCTGAATCCCCAGCAGCCCCTTCTGGGCTCAAGAAGGGGAGTGAATAACTGGGATAGCAGCTTGGTCCAGAGTATCAGGGTCTTGGAAAGGGAACCTTGGGGGGACTCGGTGGGTGCAGAGGCCTTTTCCACTGCCAGTGACTCTGAGATCCAATGGTTCTGTGAGTGCTGTCTGAGCAGCCGCAGTGTGACAGTGGAGTGAGGGCTGGCAGGATTGGAGGGGGATTGCTGGAAGGTTTGGAACAGTGAAATGCTGTGTGCTCAGTGACAGCATCCCGCCCTGCTGGGCACAGCCTGCTCCGTTCAGGGGCCAGCCGAGGAGGGAGGGGGTGGGGGACACTCAGCCTGCTCTTGCAGGGACCCTTTTGGGGAAGAGGGGAGCTGGGCTTGTGCACTTTGAGCCCGGAGACTCCTCCAGGCTCCTCCATGGAGGACACATCTCCGAGCTGTGCTCGCTGCAGCAGTGTCCCTGTCACTGCAGTGGCCACCAAGGCATAACCCTTCTTTGGGGAGGAAGAGCTCTGTCTGTGACTGAGGCAGAGCAGCTTCTCTGTCCTGGCCTGTGCTTTGCATTCCCTGCAGCCCTGTTCAATATTTGCTGTTCCAGTTGCTCCTCTTTATGCTTTGGACACCAGGGATTTCACTCTGATGGATCACTTGGGAATTTGCCTGTGCAGAGATGGCTTGTTGCTGCAAAAGACTTGTTCTTGGGGGTTAAAAAAAACCCCACTTCAATAAATTCTTTGTGATTCCAAGCAGCCCTTCTATGATTTGTGTTGATTAAAGAAACATCCTGGCTAAGATTTTAATGGAAACAAACACCTTGATGAGGCTGGGGCTGATAATGAGCGCTCACTGACGAACGGAATTAATTTCCTGCCTGATCAAAACAAGGTTTATTCCTTGTGCCCAGGGCTCTGCTGCACTACACAGGTTTGGTGATAAGGCTTTCTGCCCTGGGTGTGGCATGTTGGAGGGAAACCTGGAAAAGGGGCCAGGGAGGTCTGTTTGGGGACAGAAGGAGCAGCAGCTTTAGCAGGGCTGACATTTTAAACACACCAATGACCCTGGCTGTGGCAGTGGGAGAATGGACTGGGAGTGGAGTGAGTAGCTGTTGTCCCCCTGCCCCTTGCAGAAAAAAGATAACTGTGAGTTGAAGGAGAGGGGGATAAAGCTGGGAGGTGGAACTTGCTCAGAACCCCTCCAGTGATGGTGTCCAGCACCAAAAGCTCCAGATGTGCCAGCACATGTGCCAGCAGTGCTGCACCTCGGTATCCTCTGCAGCAGCCAGGGGCTTCCTGGGGGGGGGTGGCTCTTGGTGGGCACAGGGGCTGGGGGTCCAGCAGGGCCCTCAGCAAGGGTTTGTAGCTGGTGGGTGGCTCTTTCAGAAGGCAGTGAATTCCATGTCAGGCACATGGGGACATGGGTTAGTGGTGGCCTTGGCAGTGCTGGGTTAACAGTTGGGCTTGATGATCTCAGAGGGCTCTCCAACCTTAACAGTTCTGTGATTCAGATGCCTCCCCACGGGCTGGGTCCAAGGAAGTGCTGGCATCCCTTTGTAAACAGGCAGCTGGAGCTCAGCTTGTCCACTCCTTCCTCTGCCTGATCCCTGCAAACTGCCTGTAGTCTGAGCCAGGCACCTTGTCTACCGAGAGCAGGCTGTGCCCTCACCTTCCTCTGCTCAGTTGTTTTGCTGCTTCTCTTGCAGGGGAAGTTCACGCTGCTGCGGGACACCCGGACAGACGGCAGCTTCCTGGTGCACCATTTCCTGTCCTTCTACCTGCGAGGTGGGTGAGCAGCAGGGAACCCCAGAGCTTCCTTCAGTTTGCTCTGGGAGCAGGGGCTGCTTGTGCAGAGTGTTAGGCACCCTTGGATTAACCCAAAGCTTTGGGGTCAGGATCGGGAGATCCCAGTCCTGACTTGTTGTTGGCACTCGCTCTGTATCCTTGGGTACATCCCATAATGTCTGTGCCTTGTTTCATCAGCCGTCGTGGGGATCCTGGTAAATCACATGGGCTCTGACAGGGAGGTGTTTGCTGCAATTCCTCACTGCCTCGGTGTTTTATAATGTAATTACACATATCAGGATCAACTAACAACACATAAGCTCATAGTGAGTAAAGAAGCAAACAAAGGGCCTGGCAATTTGCCTAATTGCTTTTCTGGGAACAGTTTCCCCAGTGAGTAACCTCCTGGTCCCTGTGCAGCAGAGACTGGACTCAACTCCTCCAGCTTTCTGCTGGCACAGCCACCAGCCCAGCAAATCTGGTGCTGTCAGGCTTGAAAGGGAGCTCAGAGTGCTGGGCAGGGGGTGTACTGAGAGCATCCTGCCCCCAGAAGTGCCACTGCCTCAGCAGGGGCTTTGCCCTGCTTGGAAATATTCTTTTACTTGATGGAAAGAGGGAAACTGCAGGAAATCCCATGGAGAGCAGGTTGGTAATGGTGTGAATGGTTCATAGGGACTTGCCAGGCACTGCCTTGGGGTCTGCCCACATCCCATCCTGGCTGTGCTGATATGCTGACCTGCAGCCCTGTCCTGGGAGTTGCTGCCTGGAGCTGCCCATCTGCCTGGGAAAAGCTCTCCATCCCCTGTGGGATGTTACTGTCTCAGGACAGGTGTCCTTGCTGTCACCTGCTCCCTTCCACCCCAGGACCTGGGTGCACTTATTCCCTGTGCCAAAACCTTTGGGGCCTCCCTGTGGAGGCTCAGCTGGGGCCACTGCCTTGTTGCACTGAAAATCCGTGTCCTGGCAAGCACTGTGTTCGTACCTGTAAGGCCAGGTTGTCACATGGCTTTCCAAAATCCTATTTTGGTGAGTGAGGTGTCTTTGTAGAAATTCCTGGTTCTGTGTGCTTTTCCAGTCAAGGTCACTCACCTTACGAGAGCCAAAATGGGGTTTTTGGCACATCAGTGTTTTCAGGAGTTGGTGTCATGGTCGGCCACTGGCCTCCTTACAGTAACTGCAGCAAACGGTGCCAGGAGGTCCCAGGGCACCAGGGCAGGGGGCAGAACAGGGGCCTTACACTTTTGTGATGCCATCTTTTTCTTGTTCTTTACCCCTGTTTTCGAATTAACATTTCCCCTAATGTAGAAATCCTCTAGAAAGGTGAAAATGGAAAGCAAGGAGGGGTGTGCCTGGAGCTGTCAGGGTCCTTCCAGGTAGACCTGCAGCCTGGCCACTGTGGGCTCTGCTGACAGCACTGCCAGTGGAACTGCTAACGTGTTTGTCCTCCCCAGCTGGCTGCAAGGTTTGCTTCGTGGCCCTGCTCCAGTCCTTCAGTCACTACAGCATCGTGGCACAGAAGCTGGTGAGTGTCTGGGCGTAGGTTCATCACTGCAGCTCCAGGGAGTTCCTGCTGGGTGGGAAGGCAGGGGCATGGGGAGCAGGAATTGTGTGTGATGTTTCCAGGTCCTGGTGGGGACAGTCAGGATTGGTGCTCCTGTGGGAGAGCATTCTGGGGCAAACCCCCGGCTGTGGGGTGCTCCAGGGGTGGGATCTGGAGGGCTGCTTGCTGTGCTTGGGAATGTTTCCTGGTGATCAGCGTTCCCCAGACAGGCCCACACTGGTACATGGAGCTTCCTCAATCCTCTGGGGAGGAGAGTGCCGTGCTGGGGGTGTCCCCAGGGCCCTGCACACCTGCAGGACACGCTGGCTGCACCACACGGGAGCTCCCGGGGGAATTCCTTCCCTGCCCGTGGTTATGCTGGGGTGAAGGGCTGGGTCAGCTGCTCACAGGGACACCTGTGGGCCAAGCCACGAGTTTTGGCTGGATGAGGAGCCTCACATTCCCTTGTTCTTAGGGATTTCCTTCCCACGGTGAGTTGGGCAAGGATTATGTGTACCCTGAAATGAGGAAACGGAGAGCCAAGGTAGGCAGGATAATTCCCTGTGTCAGCAGATTGTCTGAGCTCCAAACTGCTGCTCTCAGCTCTTTGTACAATGCTCAGAGGTGAAATGCTCCAGGTGGGAAGCCCAGGTGACCTTCCAGGGCTGGAGGGATGAGGGCTTGCATTGGTCCTCCCTCCTCTGGCTCTGCTGGGAATCCGTGAAGCCTTCCAGGTGCTGAGGAACCAGGTGTTGCACTTCTTGTATTCCCTGCTGTAAACAGGGGCTGGATTTCTGTGCTGCTAAAAATCTGCATTTCATTTACTGCTCAGTTTTCACCTTTTAAAAGGAAACCAGTGGTCTGAGGTACATGAAACAGGCTGGGCAAATGCAGCGTTTCCCTGTGGAGCTGTAACTCCCAGGGGGATACTGGACATGGGAGTCCCCGTGGAGCACATCCCACTGAGCAAACCAGCTCCCAGCATGGAGCTGTCCCGGCCTTTGTGGTGCAGAGAGGAGGAAGTCTTGGGAGGCACTTGCTAAATAGGGCAGGAAATGGGGCACAGCAGCCAGTGTGGGGAGCAGATCCAGCTGTTAAATGCAGGCTCCTTGCCTGCTCCTGAAGCAGGATGGTGTCTGTGTTCCACACATGGTGAGATTTCCCAGTTGGGGTTAACAGGAGCTGCTGTCATCTCCCTGTGGGAGAGGCTGAGCAGGGACAGAACATGGGGATTATCTGGCGTGCACATGCAATGCAAATCAGGGTGATCTGCTGTCTAATACTCCTGCAGAAAGGTGGCTGCCAGGCAGGAGGGGATGAGAACACGGTTTGGGTTTGCCCGGGGGCTCAAAGAAGTGCTGAGGTTGTGTCAGCTCTGAGTCACTCTTGCATTGGAACTTCACAGGTGCCCCTGTGCTGGGTTGGTGTGAATTCCTCCCAGGCTCTTCGAGTAGGGGATCATAACATCAGTTATTTGTATGCGGGTTTCCATCATGTCTTGTCTTTGCTTTAACCCTCCTTTGCCCAGATGGGCACACCAGGCTCAGAAAAGGGGCTTCTTGGCAGAGTAGTTTCACTCAGGGGTTTGCCTGGGGATGTGCTGCTGTAGGTCTGTGCAGGATTCCAGCTGGGGTGTCAGTCCCTGGCTGCAGCACACCCCAATTTCAGTGTCCTGCAGCTGGGAGGTGAACTGCACCCTCCATCCAACACCCAGCTCCTTCCTTCCCATCTCCTCTTCCTTGGGAATGAGCTCCAGACAGACTGCTGGGCTTTCCATGTTGGCCAGGACAGTTGCAGAGATGAGGCTGCAGTTCCTCTGGGATGGGAAGTGCTCGGAAGAATCTGACCCGTGAGCAGCCCCTGCTTTGTGTTATTTTATCTGAAGTGGCTGGACACGAGCCCAGCTGTGCCCCAGCGGCCAAGACAGCCAATGGCACCTGGTTTGTACCAACCCTGGTGGTGGCACAAGCCCAGGGCAGTGCCTGTCCCTGTGCTGGCACTGCTGAGGTGGCACCTCCAGTGCTAGGGCCAGTTCTGGGCCCCTCACAACAGGACATGGAGGGGCTGGAGTGTGTGCAGGGAAGAGAACGGAGCTGGGAAGGGGCTGGAGCAGCAGGAGGGGCTGAGGGAGCTGGGGGGGCTCAGCCTGGAGAAAAGGAGGCTCAGGGGGGACCTTCTGGCTCTGCAATCCCTGACAGGAGGGGGGAGCCAGGGGGGGTCGGGCTCTGCTCCCAGGGAACAGGGACAGGAGGAGAGGGAACGGCCTCAGGCTGTGTTGGGGGGTCAGGTTGGATACTGGGGAAATTTCTTCCCTGAAACAGCTTTCCAACCCTGGCACAGCTGCCCAGGGCAGGGGTGCAGTCCCCATCCCTGGAGAGGTTTCAAAGCCCTGTGGATGTGGCACTTGGGGACATGGTCAGTGGTGGCCTTGGCAGTGATGAGGGACCAGTTGGATTTGATGGTATCCGAGGGCTTTTCCAATCACAGTAATTCTATGATTATGCCTTTAGGAAAGATTGCACTTGGAAGAGCTTCAGAACTGAGTGATGCTCTTGTTTCCACTGGGAATTAGACGGTCCCAGGCCTGGGAGGAAGGTCCTGGAACCAGGGTGGATTTTACAGCCTTTGCAGCACTGGTTTGTGGATGTGGTCCTTGTGCCCCTGTGCAGTGATACAGTGGATGTCACACACAGCTGCAGTGCTGTTCCCATGTACGTGCTGCTTTCCCAGGGTACCATGTTTTACCAGTCCCAGACCAGTCCCTAATGTGTTAGCCAAATGCAGGGATGTATTTTCACTTGCAGGAAAAAGCTTTCCTAGCTTTCTGTGCCCGTGTCCTCTTTTCCTGAGGATTTGCACTTCATTTTCAGGGACAGTCAATGTTTTTTGCCATGACCTTGCAGAGAACATGCTGGGCCGTAGCTGGACTAACAACACCAGGGCGCTCTGCCAGGTTGGTGTTCCCACCCTCGTTTGGACAAAGTTTGTTGTGTTTTAAAGGACAAACAGACTTGTCCTCATTTGGTCTCCCTCTGGCCTGTCCCCTGTTCCCTGCTCCAGGCCCTCAGCTGGGGGATGTGGCCTGGCCTGGTCTCTGATGGCCACACTTGGTCCCACTGCTGTGTTTGCTGGTGGAGCTCATTCCTGCTACTCACACACTCCATTCCTTACTCCCTCCAAATATTTTACTTTCCCGTGTGGAATGGCCAGGGGAGAGTGGCAGTTCTGGTTTGAGGGGACATCCTGGGCCCCAGGCTCCAGGCAGCTCCTCAGAGGGATGGGAACAGCTGAGCTGTGCTGCAGAGCCATTCCCGGCTGGATCGATAGCTGGCAGCGTGCCAGGGATGATGTCGTGGGCTCCGGTGGCAGTGGGGCAGGATGCCAGGAGACAGGGAAGGCTCTGGGCTGGGTGAGTGCTGGGCAGCACTGTGTGTCCTGTGTGCACTCAGGAAGGTGCCAGTGGCCACTTGCAGCACTCTGCCCACCGTCTCCAAGCTGTCCTGTCTGCTTGCAGAGGTTACGCTGGGCAGGCTGCTCCCCGGGACACAGGCAGAGCTGGCTGTGGCAGGGCACTGCAGGGAGTGAGTCCACGTCTCTCTGGGGCCTGGTTCTGCACCTGGAAAATGAGGCTGGACTTGCTGTGTCCATGTCATGGCACCAGGAGGATGGAATTCCTGGTCTGACACACACACACCCTGGCCCTTCCCTGCCAGCCAGGCAGGCCCCGTTGGCACAGCACTGAGCTCCCCTCTCCAGAGGGGCACTGCTTTCCTGCTGAAGTCCAGAGAGATGGTGTGTGCAGGAGGAAATGGCTGAAGCAAAGGCAAAATCTCCTGCTGAGTTATGAATAGTGAATTTAGTCATGGCATTTCAGCAGGTTCCCAGTCCTGTGGACTCCAGAAATGCCTAGGGGAGTGAGGTTTGTGAGGCTGCTGTGCAGCCCAGCCCTGCTTTATGGCACGGCAGGTATTTATTTGGCAGCCATTCCCTCCTCCTCACCTGCCACATAAAGCTGTTTCTGTCCTTGGCTAGAAAGTTTTCCACTGGGTGTGCTTGCAGTTGCCCAATAATGCTGATAGTTTGAAATTATTTCTGGGGGGAGGTGTTGAAAAAATCTATTGCTTTATAGAGGGAGTTTGGAGGGGAAAGAAACATTCAGGCACACATTCCTTCCCAGCTGAGTAAAAGGAAAATAGGGTAACCCTTCTTCCCAGGTAGCAGGATTCACTGGACTGGGAGTCCAAGCGGCTTCCATTCAAAGCAGGAAGAGATGCCAGCAGGCAGGAGTTTGATCAGGCCTCAGATTATTCTGAATATCAGTGTACAAAGTGATAGTGCTGCAAAACTGAGTCTGGGAAGTTAATTGTGGAATAGTTTGTGTTGGAAGGGACCTGAAAAGGCCACCTAATCCAACCCCCCAGGAAACAGTTGTCCTGCATGTGACCATGGGATCACAGAATAGTTAAGGTTGGAAAAGCCTCTGAATCCTTTGAGTCCCAACCATCCCCCAGCACTGCCAAGGCCACCACTGACCATGTCCCCAAGTGCCACATCCACAGGGCTTTGAAAGCCCTCCAGGGATGGGGACTCCGCCCCTGGGCAGCTGAGCCAGGGCTGGAAAGCTGTTTCAGGGAAGAAATTTCCCCAATATCCAACCTAAACATCCCCTGGCACAACTTGGGACCCTTTCCTCTCATCCTGTCCCTTGTTCCCTGGGAGCAGAGCCTCTTCCCCCTCTGGCTGTCCCCTCCTGTCAGGGAGTTGCAGAGAGCAAGAAGGTCACTTCTGGCCTTCACCAACCCCAGTTCGTGAACTTGGATATAAGGAAGTTTTTTTACAGTAAGGGTGGTGAGGCCCTGAGGCTACCCAGAGAGGCTGTGGCTGCCCCATCCCTGGAAGTGTCCAAGGCCAGGCTGGACGGGGCTTGGAGCAACCTGGACTGGTGGAAGGTGTCCCTGCCCATGGCGGGGGGTGGCACTGGGTGGGCTTTAAAAGTCCCTTCCAGCCCAACCTTTTGGGGGATCTGTGGTCTCCAGTTGGAGTCTCCTCCGTATCTGCTGCAGCTCAGGCGTGTCTCTGGAGCTGGATGTGGCTCTCCTTGGCCTCACCAGCACACAGGGTTGAGAGCTGGCTGTGGTTTGAGTCGTGGTCCCTCCTCCTCCTCCGGGTGGATCAGGGCTGAGGCCCTTCCCATGGGAGCCCTGGCTGCTCTCTCCCATGGGAGCCCTGGCTGCTCTCTCCCGGGCAATGTCGTGGTGCCGTGGGCTCTCCCCTGGTCGGGCCATGCCCACTCGGCTGCGTGGGCTGTGCCGGGCAGGTGGCATCGCCACAGCCGTGAGCTGGAGACTGGGAAAGCCAAAAGGTTTTGCCACCCATGGAGGGAGGGCGAAGGAATCGCTCACAGCAGGTCCTTGGAGGAGCCTGGGCCATCCTCTCCCTGCCTCTGCAGAAGCAGCTGGTTCCTCCCATGCTGCCAGGCTGACTTCCCAGGAGGAGTTCCAGGATGTTTGAGCCCCCAAATCACAGCGGGGTTTTTTTAATCTCCTGGTAAAATACAGGAGAGTGAATGTGCCACCGGTGTGTCACAGAACCACCCATTTCACCCCTGAAGCACCAGCATTATCAGCACCTTTAGATAAGATTTGATAAAATTGGGATGCTGCCCCGTGTGGTTCTGTTTGCACCATTTCTCCAGAGCTGCTCACTCAAAAGCTGCTGTTTTCCTCTCCCGAGGGAGTCAATCTGACAGCTGCCAAGGAGCGGGGGCAGCTGGTCTTCCTGGAAGGCCTCAAGTCCTGCCTTGATCTGGTGTTTGGGGAGGAGGAGGAGCAGCCAGGGCAGCCCAGTCCTCTGCGGTTCCTGAGGTGAGCTGAGCCCAACACAGAGCATTGCTGCCTGCACAGCACCCACAGCAGCAGCGAGTGCAGGGGGACACCAGCACCGTGCACATCGCTGTGCAAGTCCTGGCCTGTCCCTCCTTGCTGCCAGAGACGGAGCCTGTTCCCCTTGCCAGCATTTTGGGGGAATTTCTGCCCCCATCCACACTGCCAGCATGTCACAAGTCTAGAAAAACATTTGTTTTAGCACTCAGCAGGTTTGTGGCAAACGAAACTCTGGCTAAGTTGTTTTAATCCTTTTCTTTCATTATTTTGAGTTTTGATCTTATCCAAGGGGACAGTGCTGCTTTATCCGTGCTGGCTTTTGGGTTTATTCCCACTTCACTTTCTCCATGCCCCACGGTAAGCTCAGCAAAAGCAAAACACTTCCCTGGAAGTGTCCAAGGCCGGGTTGGATGGGGCTTGGAGCAGCCTGGTCTAGTGGAAGGTGTCCTTATCCATGGCAGGGATGGACCTGGATGGGCTTTAAGGTCCCTTCCCATCCAAACCATTCCATGATCCCTGGAGCCGGGCAGGAGGGTTTCACCACACCCGGGGGTAAAGGAGCAGTGACTGAAGGCAGTGCAGGGCCTGGTGACTGTCAGAGCAGTGGGCACAGCAGGGAGGGGACAGGCTGGGGCAGAGGGTCCCTGTGCTGGGTCAGTGGGTGAGCAGGTGATGCCAGGCCCTGACAGCTCCTTCATCTCTTCCAGTGAGAGCAGCTCCGACCTCCGAGCCCTGTTCGACTTCGTCCGCACGTCCCTGAGTGCCCCGGACAGCGGTGCCTGGAAGGGCCCCGTGCTGCTGGTGGATGACCTGAGTGTCCTGCTGAGCCTGGGGGCCACGCCCGTGGCCGTGCTGGACTTCATCCACTACTGCCGGGTGTGCCTGTGCTCCCAGCTGCAGGTATTGCTCCCGTGTGCCTGGGGGCTGAGCCTCCAGGGCAAAGCCTGCCTTTGTTTGCTCTTTCCACCTGGCCACGGTGAGGCTTTGGAAGGCTTGGGCTGTCCAAGAAATTCAGACCGTTGCTCTGGGGTCAGTTTTCAAGGGTTGTGTGAGTCCCTGGAGTACCTGTACAGCTGGATTCCCGCTCTAGAGCCGCTCTCAGGAGTTGTGTGAGTCTCTGGGTACCTGTGCAGGCTACTGTGCAGCTGGATCCCCAGGAAGTGCTGCCCAGAGAAGGGTTCTCAGTGTCCCTGACATGTGAGCAGGGATTCGAGGTGTAAAATAGTGTTTCTTGGAGTTCCTGGCTCTCCAGAAATCCCAACTGACACCCGTGGTGGGGGAAGCAGGGGAGGAAATGGGTTGTTTGAGGGGTTGGTGACTCTCACAGGGGACAGAAACAAAGGTCCCCTTGGAGGACACCCCAGTCCCTGCTCCCACCTGCAGTGGGACCTCCAGTGTGTGCGTGTTGCTCCAGCTGGTTTCCAGGGGGTGTGATGATGTACAGAGTGATGTGTGCAGCCCAGGGATGTGCTGGCTCCTGGGAGCACCACAGCCAGAACTGGTTCCAGTCACCTCCAGACTCTGCCATCCACACTGCAGTGTCCCCTCCTGGGCACTTCTGTGTGGGGGTGACGGTGTTGGGTGGGATCATCCTGCCCCTCACATGGCACGGGGTGTTGGGCTGAATGTGCTGACAGGGGACGTTCTGCTTGTGGGGAATATTTACCTCCAAAGCAGCTAAAATAGGTGATGAACCGTGCTAACACTTTTCTATTTCTGTCTGAGGTGTTCTGAAGCTTTCAAGTACATTTTAACTGATTGAGAATTCCGTGTTATTTTAAGTCCTTGGTGACTTGCATTGGCTGAGCAGAGACTCAGGGGATGGATTTTAATAGAGTGGGTGTGCTGGGGAGCTCTTTGCTCCTTGTCAGAGCTGTGATTGTGTGAGTGTTGCTGCAGCCCTTTGGCCACCTCTTTATTTACCTGCTCTGAATTCAGTCAGTGCCATCTGCCCAGCCTGACAGACTGGTTTAACCAGACTCTGTCTCTCCTAACAGAGGCTCGAGGTATTTTTAGGCTGCACATTACATGTGTGTGTGTGTGTGTGTGTGTGTGTGTGTGTGTGTGTGTGTGTGCACAGTGCACACACAGCAAGCTCTGCCAGAGTTTATAGGTCGTGCAATCACAGAATGGTTTGGGAAGGGACCTAAAGCCCATCCAGTGCCACCCCCTGCCATGGGCAGGGACACCTTCCACTGGCCTAGGTTGCTCCAACCTGGCCTGGGACACTCCCAGGGATCCAGGAGCAGCCACAGCTTCTCTGGGCAACCTGTGCCAGGGCCTGCCCACCCTCCCAGGGAAGAATCCTTCCCACTATCCCATCTATCCCTGCCCACAGGGCCAGGGCATGTCCAGCCTGTCCCAGGGGAGTTTAGCTCAGCCCATACTGGCGGATGCCCAAGCAGCTCAGCAGGGACCTCTATGCAAACTCCGTGTCCATCTCCCCTTCCTTCCCTGAGGGATGAGGACCCTGCAGTGGCTCATCCCTGCCTGCTGCTCCCGTTCCAGGGGAACGTTGTGGTGCTGGTTCACAGCAGCGAGGATTCGGAAGACGAGGAGAATGAACTGGTTGTGAACTCCCTGTGCCATCACAGCGACCTGATCCTGTGGGCAGAAGGGCTGGCCACCGGCTTCTGCAAGGATGTGCACGGGCAGGTGAGGCACGGGAGGGCACCCAGAGGTGGCACTGTCCCTGTCACCTGCAGCACTGCCTGTGGGAGACAGCCCAGGGCAGCCTGGGGAAGGACTAATCCTGCGAGCACCAGGATCTGCTGGAACACCCGGGTTCTTAAGGCTGTGACTCCACTTCTGTGGGGATATTTAGAGACATCCTGCCCCACCTGGGGACTCCCAGCCTCTGGAAGCTTTCCAGGGTTTATACAGCAGCTGCAGCACTGGTTTCTTCCACCCCAAGGCGATGGCAGAATAAAATACCAATTTCCTGGGAAGTTTCCCCAGGGGGTGGATCTGAGCCTGGCCTGTGGTGATCTCCTCGGGGCTGGGACAGCTCTGGGGTCTCTCTGGTCCCTCACTGGGGGCTGCCACCGAAGGGACAGGGACAGGCAGCTGCCTGAGGGGTTGGTTATTTTTCAGTGATCCCCTCCCTGCAGGCCAGCCAGAGGCACGGGGGCAGCCAGAGGGGTGATGTTCCTGTTCCCTTCCCTTGGCAGATCAAGATAATCCAGAGGGTGTCCCTGCAGCAGGCGGGGGAGCAGGATGTCGTGCAGATCTACCAGTACAAGATCCAGGACCGGAATGTCACCTTCTTCGCCAGGGGGCTGTCGGCTGCAGTGCTGTGAGGCTGTGACAGCGTGCAGTGAGCCTGGCAATGCCAGAGCCTGCCTCCAGCCAGCCTGGCAGCTCCACCAGCACCTTCCAGGAGCAGCACAGCAAACTGACCTGGGAGGAAGGCTCAGACACACCTGGAAGCGGTGCCAGTGCAGGGATCGGCCTGCCCAGGGATGCCACATCCCTGTGTCCTCCCACCCGGTTCCCAACACGCTCAGGCCAAGAAGAGGAGCAGGAACGTGCAGGAATGGCCCTTGGAGCGTGTGAGCACAGGCAGGGGGATGCCTCGTGGGCTGGGTGTGCCTCACCTTTTCCGGTGCCCTCTGCTCCTGCTGGCAGGCTGCAGATGACACAGCAGGCGGGGCAGGGATGGTGTAATGCTCTCCTTGTCCCAGCTCTGGCTGGGGGAGAGCTGCTCAATTCCAGCTTCCACAGGGGGTGAATCCACAGCTCCACGTGCAGCCCCTCATGCTGCAGTGGGACCTGCATGTTGCCTTGAATGGCTGATCCCTTGTGCTTCCCAAGCTCATCCTTGGCTTAGGGGCTGGATAAACCCCTTTCCATGAGCCTCTGTCTCAGCCACTGCTTCTCCATCCCAAATCCTGACCAGCAGTTACATGACCTGCCTGTACTGAAGCATTTTTTGGGGATAATAATCCCTAATTTGAATGAGATAAGAGTACAGTGATAAAGTAACCATGGATTTCTGTGTGGGAACCACTCCCCACCAGCTTCTGGGCAGGGGGCAGGAATGGGCATCTGCCGAGCCTGGATGAAGAGAGGGTCCCCTCCCTCCCCATGGCTGTGAGGGCAATCCCGGGAATAGAGCTCAGGCCTGGAGCTCTCCCTGCAGATGCTGGGATCTCCTGTTTATCCTGGGAGAGAAACAGCCTCCCACATGCTTGTGAGAGACAAGTGACCTGCCAGGTCCTTGCAGCTCCAGAGCTGGGTAACAGCTCCAGTGGGACACATTCCTGCATTTTCCATGGAGATTCAGTGACCCAGCCTGCTGCAGGCTTGGGAATGGTCCCTTTGGCTTGAGTTTGGGAAGCCCTGGCTGACTGATGGCAGTCCAGGGAACTGGGGAGAGCAGCAGTGCCCTGCATGTGCTGTAGGATCACACGTGCCGTGGGCCTGTCCATGCTTTGCCACGGAAATGGCAGTGCCAGGGCTGCTGCTGCCAGCCCAGCGTGGCGACAGGGCCCAGGGGACAGTGCACCACCACAGGCTGCAAAGGGAGCAGGATGAGACAACCTGTGGTTCTTGGGGAAAGGAGCTGCTTAAAATACACCTGTAATGAGCATAGAATGGTGCATAATTGGAGTAATATCCGTGTGATTACCCTTGGAGAGATCCCAAAACCTCCTGGCCCAAAGGCTCTGCCTCCCTCCTGTGAAACCGGCAGGGTGGCTGTGTGACATCACCGTGTGACATCACCACTGGCCTTTGCCTGCTTCGTTCTGTGCTCACCCAGTGTCAGCATCCAGCAGTCCTGGGCTGGGGAGCCTCAGCCTGACCCCCGTGTTCCCCAGGATCCCTTTGGGATGAGCTGCTCTGCCTGCACCGTGAGCAGGGAGATTCCTGCTGGAGAAGGGGGTTGCTGCTGAGGACTGAGCCCAGCATTCCCAGCATCTCTGCCCATGCCCAGGGGTGGCCTTGGCCATCAGGACATGGAGAGGCAGCTGTGCTGAGCCAAGGCCACAGGCACGGCCGGGACCTCGCTCTGGAGCTGACACTGCAGGAGAGCAGCCAGGGACTGGATATCAGGAACGGTTCCCTCGGTGCCAGGACAGGGTGGCCTTGCCCAGGGTCAGCCCCCAGCTGCGTGCTCAGGGCTGTGCGAGCCATTGGGCAATGCTGGGGAATCCAGCGGGATCGGGATCACCTTTGTTCCCTCGGCCTTGGGGAAAGGCCCCACCACGGCTGAGCTGGTGGGACAGGGATGGGGGTCCTGGGATGGGGGGATGATGTGTTAGGAAGGGCTGCCAGCAGCAGGGACTATTGGGAAGGGTTGGAGCCCGATGGCTGTTTGTGGGGGTGCTCAGCCCCTGGAGGTGAAGGAGCAGGGGTTGTGTCTCAGCATCCCACCCCATGGCAGCAGTGTGCTGGCAGGGCAGCGCGGGCCATTCCAGAGGGGGAAGGAATGATCGCTTGGCTCTGGGTATCACCTGCCCTGGGCCCTTCCAGGCTGCCACCATCCCCTCCGTTCCCAGTGCTCCCTGTGCCTGTCCCGCTCCTGTTCGGGTGTCTGAGTCACCTCTGTCCCCTGCACCAAGCCAGGGCTCCCGGTGCCGGGCCCTGTGTACAGATCCGTGCTCCCCAGGATGCTCCGGGGTTCCTGGTGCCCAGTATCCCACCTCTAACTCACATCTCCCATTCCTTAGGCCTCCCAGCCTTGCCAGTGCAACATCATCTCTCCAGATCCATTCTCCCCCACGGGGCTCCTGATGATCAAACCCCCCGTGGTCTCGGCGCCTGACCCGCACCCTCGCGGGTGCATGGGCCGGCTCCGCTCTGCCCCAGCACGCCCGGTGGCCGGTTCTCCGCTCCCATGGCCCTCCCCGTCCCCAGAACCCCCTCCCGGTCCTGCCTGTATCCCATCCCATCGCATCCCATCCCATCGCATCGCATCGCATCCCATCCCATCCCATCCCATCCTATCCCATCTCCACGTGTTCCCGCTGCCCGCGCGCCGCTTCCGGGGGGCGTGGCCAAAGGCCGCGAAGCGCGGTGTGTCTGCTGGGGGCGTGGCTATGCAAATACAGTCTATCCTGTCTGCAAATGGGCGTGGCCACACACCGCTGTTATTGCCGTGTGGGCGTGGCCATGCAAATAGCCCCTACTGGAGCCGGCGCGCCCGCTGTGGGCGTGGCCGGCGCGGTGTGGGCGGGCTCGCGGCGCTGCGCGCGCGCGGTGCGTGCCCGGCGGGCGGGGGCAGAGCCCGGCCTGGAGCGGCGGGAGCGGAGCGGGAGGGGAGGGGAGGGGAGGGCCGGGAGCGGAGCGGAGCGGAGCGGAGAGGGCCAGCAGCGGAGCGGAGAGGGCCAGCAGCGGAGCGGAGAGGGCCGGGAGCGGCGGGCCCGGAGCGGAGCGGGCTGGGCCGGCAGCGGAGCGCAGAATGAGCGGGCTGGGCCGGCAGCGGAGCGGGCCCGGAGCGGAGAGAAGCGGGCCGGGAGCGGCGGAGCCGCGCGGCTGCGGCCCAGGCTCGCAGGGGCAGGAAAGCCGCCGGAGAGGAGCACGGGCGAGCGCCGCGGCCGGCGGGAGGTCAGAGGGCGGAGGTGCGCAGGGAGCCGCTTCCCGGGCGAGGTGAGAAGGGGCGGGCGGAGCGCGGAAACAGTCCCCGAAACCTCCTTCCTAAACCCCTTCCCAACCCCCATCCCAGCCCCTTCCCTGCCTCAGTTCCTCCTCAGGCCCCTCCGTGCCTCAGTTTCCCCCTCCCGGGCGTCCGGGCGTTCCCCTACCCTCCCCCCGCCACCCCCTCCATCCTTTTAGGGATAATTCAAAAGGAATTTGGGCAGATCTTCCCTGCGGGGTCAGGAGAAGGTGCTTTCTGGAAAAAGGGTTAAAATGAGGGAACGTGTAAAGGGATTGGTGGGAAAATACTCCAGTTTTGGGGTACTAAAGGTGCGAAGCGGAAGGGGGCGAGGAGGGAAGGAGTTAAATCACCTGCTCTGCGGGATCGGGATAAGGTGCTCTGCGGGAAAGGAGCGAGATGAGGGAAAAGCTGAAGGGAACGCTGGGAACATGGGGTATTCTGCTGCACGGGGTTTGTGCCGAGCGCTCGGGAAGCAGCAGGATGCGCTGGTTCCCGGGGGAGCTGGCTCTGCCCACAGCGCTGTCCTGCCCTGGGCACCCGGAGCTCGGGAGGCCGCTCGGCACTTGGCAATCAACTTCCCCGAATGAGCGTTCCGGGGTTGTTTTTAATGCAGTGAACGCGGAGCTGTTGGGATGCTGGAGTGACTGCGGGCTGTGTTTGGGAGAATCCCGAGGAGAGGGCTCCGGAAGGATTCCGGCCTCGGTGCCGGAGTTTCCTGAGTGCGGCATCCACGTGTTTTTCAGGACTGTGGAAAGACAAACCAAGTTTCGCGTCGTGAAAGGGGCAGAGATGAGGCATGAGCTCCCTCTGCAAAACCAGGACGGGGCGGTAAATTTGGGATTACACGGGCTGTTGTGTAATGCAGAAAGGAGATTAGCTGGGATTGGGATGAGAGGAAAACGCCCCGGGATGTTCGGGAACGTGTGGCATAGCCCCGGGAACCTCCCCCAGCCCAGCTCTGCTCCATTTCCAGGTACAACCCTGAACTTGGCACGGGGCTGTTTGTTTTTCCAACTGTGAGTCAAATATCGCATCCCAAAAGGAGCAAAGAACAATCAGGGATTGTCTCAGGAGCACTAAAATAGTGTTTTGAGGGTCAGGATCGTGGTGATGAATGAACCTGTCAGGCTCTCGCTGAGTTACTCGGTGCTATTTTTGGGCAGGGGGTTGCTGGGCCTGTCTGGCGTCAGAGTTTGGATCACTATGCACCAAAAAGTCATGGTTTTTCTTTCTGATGAGCACAGAGTTCAGAAAATAGAACAGGTACAGCTGGAGGAACAAAAATAGCTTTACCTGCCTGTAGTGGAACGTTGTGCATGAGGAGGGGATGGGCAGGAGCAGCAGCACAGCAATTCCAGTGGATCCTGTGACTGGGAATCCTTTCCAGGCCAGCACCTTCCTTCCCTCTTACAAGAGACTTTCCCCAGCGAGCTGTGGCTGGAGATGGGGGCACAGTTCCCTGCCCTGGGAGCGAGGAGGGATCGATGGTGCTTGGCACGAGGGACTGAAAGTAGGTGCAGACTGAGCTTTCCAGGCATTCCTTGGCTCTAATACCTGGGGTTAGAATTCCTTTGAGTCCCTCTCTCCCCCTTGTTCAGTGCATTGAAGGGTGAGAAGGAGAGGCTTAAGGAGCACTGAGCTGTTCTGTGGTGCTGCAGCCTCTGGGAGTGTCCCTGCTCACATCCCAGCTACCCAAACCAGGGAGGAGCAGGGAGTGAAGGGTGCTTGGCCAGGAGGGAATCCTTCAATTCCTGTCTTCAGGTGAGGACACAGCCCCAGTGGCTCACAACAGTTGTGGCCTTTTGGCATAACTGGGCTCCCCTGGGAAAAAATGAACTTCTCCCTCCAAGAAGAGTGATTTCAGCTGGAGTGAGAGCACGGTGGGGAGGGCAGTGCAGTTCCTTGGGAAAATCTGGAATTAATCTTGTGTGGAGCATTGTGAGGAAGGGATAATAGTGGGTTTGTTTCCCAGAGACAATGTCCGAGTCAGGCTTTGGGACTTGCTGCCTCACAGAGGAGTTTTGGGATCTGTGGGGAAAGAAAGAGCAGAGTGATTTCCTGAGCCTGGCTTCCTAATGGTGATTATTAGAAAGGATAATATTTAGTTCTGTGTGTGATTCTGGAGGTGCCAAACACTCCCTTTTGGGGCTGGGAGCCCTGGGAGTTGGTGAGTTCAGCCTTTCCCGGTGTTCCTGCTGTGACCCAGAGCCAGTGCAAAACCAATCCCTTGGAGATGCATCACCTTACAGGTGCTGTGTCCCTCCTGCCTTCCCAGGCCACTTCCCAAGCCCCAAAGATCTGGGAGTGCAGAGTTTTTAAGCATGAAAACTGTCCTGGCTGAAGGCTTGGGGTTTATTTTGGAGGGAACAACGCAGGGAAATCC